GGGTCTTAAAAACCTCCAAGGATGGAGAGTCCACCACCTCTATGGATAACCTGCTCCAGTGCTTTACTACCCTCCTAGTGAGAAAAGTCTTCCCATTAGCTAACCTAAACTTCCCTTAAAATGCAGCAACTTCCTTGTTCCCTGGGCTCCTGCCAGCCCCTGAAAGGTGGTAACAAAAAGGATGGAGCTGGACTGTGCTCAGTGATGGCAGACGACAGAACAAGGAGCAATGGTCTCAAGTTGCAGCAAGGGAAGTTTAGGTTAGGTATTAGGAAAAACTTTCTCACTAGGAGGGTAGTAAAACACTGGAACAGGTTACCCGGAGAGGTGGTGAAATCTCCATCCTTGGAGGTTTTTAAGACCTGGCTTGATAAAGCCTTGGCTGGGATGATCTAGTTGGGGCTGGTCCTGTTTTGAGCAGGGGGTTGGACTAGATGTGACCTCCTGAGGTCCTTTCCAACCCTCATTTTGTCTGATTCCAATTTTCTACGAAGTCCTTCATCTCATTAGCAGCACTCAGCAGTGTTCTGAGTTTAGCAAACCAAACATTTACTAAAAAGCTTTTTAAGACTCAAAGAACAAATACTGTGTGTATGTGAAGATGATTCCTTGATGAGGCCCAATGAACTAATTAAACCCAGGACAAATTAAAAGAGGCAACCAGGATAAAGTTGGGAAAATACTGCTTTGTAGCTCCAGTCACCCAATCAACTGGGTGACAGAGAGGTTTTTTTCCCCTTGTAGATTAAGATCTTTATAATATAATATGTTTTTCCACTGTTATCAGCTTTTCGATTACAGCAGATTTTTCATCTGCTGGGTTGATAGATCTGCATTAAGCCACAGATGGCAAAAACTACAGAGGAGAAGATCCCTGCACTGAGAGGCAGGAAGATGGGAAGGCAGAGAGGAAGGCCTGGCTCGACAAGAGAAGCACTGGCTTCTTCATGTCAAATACATGCCACCTACTACTGCCCCATCTCAAGCTTCCTTTTTTTCTTCTTCAATTTACATCAGTTCCATTAGCGTAATTTTGCCCCAACTCCTGATGGCACATCTATTGAACAGATGGTCAGACGGCAACTTTTCTCAGCCTTAAAAACCTCTGGGAATTCTGGGACAATCATCTTCCATTCACAGGGATAAATGGAACCAGCCTGTTGTCGCACATTGGCTTGTTCTGCTCCAAACAAGGCAAGGCTGCTGTTGCCTTTCAGAGCACGGTGTTGGGGGATATATTCTGTATTGGCCAAGAGCCAATAGCCAGCTGCCAAAATGTTTTGTTTTCAGTCTCTTGTGGGCTGGGGGAGAGAGACAGACGTTGCAGAGTGCTGATAGCTGAAGTGCTTCCATATGAGGACAGGCATGGCTGGTGAAGAGAGACCAAAACTTGTCTGCAGTGGTGTGCCAAGGCCACAATTTCACCTGGTCTCTGATACATCCCTGCTGTCAGGTAACAGCCTACAGTCAGGAGAGTCCTCCATCCCACTAAATTTGCCAGTCGAGCCACATGAGTACGCTGCATCCTCCGCAAGGGTGTCCAGAAGGAGCGTTAATCGAGCCAATGGCTATGGCTCTATAAGGGTCAATTGAGCCAATGGCTAGGGCTCTACAAGGGTCAATCGAGCCAATCCACAACTCCACAAGGGTCAATTGAGCCAATCGTTAGGGCTCCACAAGGGTCAATCGAGCCAATGGCTAGGGCTCTACAAGGGTCAATCGAGCCAATCCACAACTCCACAAGGGTCAATTGAGCCAATCCACAACTCCACAAGAGTCAATTGAACCAATGGTTAGGGCTCTACAAGGGTCAATTGAGCCAATCCACAACTCCACAAGGGTCAATTGAGCCAATGGCTAGGGCTCTACAAGGGTCAATCGAGCCAATCCACAACTCCACAAGGGTTAATTGAGCCAATCCACAACTCCACAAGGGTCAACTGAACCAATGGCGAGGGCTCTACAAGGGTCAATCAAGCCAGACCACAACTCCACAAGGGTCAATCGAGCCAATGGCTAGGGCTCTACAAGGGTCAATCAAGCCAGACCACAACTCCACAAGGGTCAATCGAGCCAATGGCTAGGGCTCTACAAGGGTCAATCAAGCCAATGGCTAGGGCTATCCAGCTGTTTGTGACACTCACAGAATCATACCGAAGTAGGGCTGGAAGAGACCTTGAAAGGTCATCTAGTCCAACCCAGATAACGCTTATCCAAACCAGCCTATACAAATCCATTGTCTAACTTCACAGCAAGCCACTCAGTCATGAGTAGTGGCCAAAAACCAGGTGAGCTAATAGTGCAGCTACAAGAAAAAATATATGGCAGACACTAGTGCCTATTAATGAAAACTAGCAGGAAATCTATCACTTTCTCCAGAGTCCTGTGGGAGTGTTACATGCGAGATGCTGTTTCCAGACCTGCCTCTGCAAGGCCTGTCAGCCTATACCACGGGCCCAAGTTTCCACTGAACTGCAGCATGCCACCTCATTTCTAGCTTGCTGTGTAACTACTGGCTTTGCAGGAAAAAAAATGTGGTAGGCAGGAGTGACTGGTGCCTCCTGAGTCTGGGGCGGGGCATAATTTGTGGGCGGGCCTGGGGGTGGGCCAAAAGCCACATATGCGCTTCTATACTTCTATGCCGTGGCTTAGTGCCCCCTCCCCCATCCCCAACATACCCCTAGCCCATGCAGCAAAAAACCTGCCCCGCATCCTGAGCAGTACCAAGTTGGGGGCCAATCTCGGGGTGGGGGGGAGCACGTGCTTCCCCTACCAGTCATGTGTGCTGGCAAGGATTGCTAGAAGGAATGCAATCTGCACAGTACGTTCTGCAAAACAGCCCGAAGCCTTTAGTCAACTGCCACTGAAGTCAGTGAGGCAAAGGTCCCGAGAAGTGCTGAGCCCCCTCTTCTCCCACTGATCTGGATGTCATCTAGCTCATCCCAGGAATCTGTCCACAGGACGGTTTTCTCTTGAGGAAGCATTTCAGAATTTGTCCCCATGTGTTTTAGTCAAGGGAAAGCAGCAGAACAGGTTTTGACCTATTTAAGGGTGCCTGTTACTCTTCTATAGTATCAGGACTGGAAGAGGCCTATTAAAAGGGGGGTGGAAACCAACACTTGGAGTGATGGGACAGAACACAGAAGGACACCGATTTTGCTGAATGCTCCGGCAGAAACAGCCGCCTGTTTAAATGGGGCCGCCAGTGCTCACAGTTTCCTGAAACAAAGCATGCAAGCCACTCCGAAGGCAGAGATGACTTAAGTGACTGACTGCAGACCCTTCGGGTTTGTTTTTTTTTTAAACCCACTGCAAGCAATGGCTTCCAAGCGCAATTTGGAAAGTTTTGCAAATCAACCATTAGGGGCTTAAATTTCTGTGAAACATCACTGCATTGGTTTTGGCACTAGGAATGACTCCCCTCCTGCCCACGGCACCCCCCGCCCCCGCCACTACATAAGAACCTTTAACTTTGTTCCCTTAATTAAAGCTGCTGCACTTCAGGGTATATAAATATAGATCACTGTTTGGGGGGAGGAGGAGGTCTACTGGGGTTGGGGGGGGAATTACCTTTTCATGGAAGTAGTGATTTTGGTTGGTGCATAAAACAAAACATTCATTCAGAAACACATGGTACGGGACTGTTGATATAATCCTGTATTTCTCTCTCTCTCTCTCTCTCACACACACACACACACACACACACACACACACACTCTCTCTCTCTCTTTTCTGTTAATGCATTAAACATAATCTTTTTTGAGAGGCGGGGAAATGCCCCATTTCTTTTACTTCACATATCGCTGCTACTCAGACTGCAGTATTTTAACGCTGCTGAGAGGAAATGGCGTAAATGTTTTCGGAATAAATTCGAAATGTTTTGAGCAAAGAAAAAAGGAAAAGAAAAAGAGGAAATAATTTAATGCAGCCCCCCAAACAGTCTGAAAGGCACAGTAATTAAATTACAGAAACTGCTTCCAGCCCAGGGGGGAATGCAAAAAAATTCCAGGGATTAAAAACCAGGAGGGAGCAGCAGTAATTTATCTTTTCAGAGGGCAAGTTAAAGGAGTGGGGTGGAAGTACTAGTCACAGATTTTAAAAAGTTCATGTTTAATGTTTTTGTAAGTGCAGGGCCAGTTTTCTGGCTTCCAATCTAACGTTACAGGAGATATGGGGACCACAAATCTTTGAAAGTATCCAAAACCATTTTCCTAATTATTTTTTACACAAATCACTAACCAAATCCCCCTTCCAAAAAAGCTTACTGTAGTTCCACCCATAATTGACCTGTGCTAGGTCTTTTCATGAGCTCTATCAAGCATGCCTCCAGCAGCTAAAGGCAGGAAGCACCTTGGCACACTGCTCTATTCAACGGCTGAACACAGGAAGGGTAGAGCCATTTTTCATGGACAAAGAAAAACACGACCGGCCCGCAGTTTTGGATCAGACTGAGTGTGCAGGCTAGTTCACCTGCTCCGCTTACAGATTTGGGCCCAAATGTGATACAGAGAACTGACTTTTGCCTACTGAAGCAGCCATTTATACCTATTCATCAAGTGCAGAGATCAGGCTTCCTAATGTGACCTTTGTCTGCTGTCCATAAGCTACACAGGTGCCTTGTTCGACTGAGCCCAAATGCCCATGGACTTTGGTGGGAGTTTGGGGTGAGGCAGGAAGCAATGCCCCAGCAATCTGCATGGCCAAGGTCTGCGAAGCTAGAAAGAAAGTTCAGGAGTAACCAAACCAGTGTTAAAAAGTGAGAGTAATTTGGATTCTTTCCTCCTGCCTTTGACTGACAGGTTTTATGTATTCAGCCCCTGAAATCCTCTGCAGCAATAAGAGTCATATATATCTATATATATCTATATCTATATATATATATCTATAAATCTATATATACAGCTATATATATATAGATATATATATAGGGCAGATTGCTGCAAGTACAGGTGAGTTTTCCCCCCATATGCAGTTCAAACAGAAAACTGAGAGATACTTACCACCAAATAAAGCATGGTATAGAGTGAGAAGGAGGCATGGCCAGAGAAAAAGGATTTCCTGTAAGGCAAAGAATGTGGATGAGTAATCCAGCCATTGAAATATTAGCTTGAACTTGTATACTACTGATGAAGGGGCAGGATGGTGACCTGCCTATTCCGACCCCGTGGAAAGGAACCGATGCCGGGAACACCCTCATTTTCCTGCGCAGACTACCCAGGCTATGGCTGACGGAGATGCATTTGTGGGGTTGCAGCTTCCCTCCAATTCAGTCGGGGCATATATTTTTAGCTGCATCGTAACCCTGCCCAAATAACCACTTAATAGAATAAGTGAGTAGCTGGGCAGGTTGTGTGAACTGCAATCCATTTCCAAGCCCTTTCCTGAGGCAACTCAATTATGAACTATGTTATAGGCAAGATAGACTGATAATATACCGTCTGGTCCCACATGCCCAGGAAACTTTAAAGAAACAAAGGTAAACACTTATCCACTTGCATTAAGTGCAAGTTGTGTAATACGTGCCAGCAAAAATCTAACTAAAATATCCAGTGAACTTACTGAAGACTTTGAAAAAGACATCTTATCCCTATTTACTTTCCAGAGCCATGAAATGCTCTCCACACACAAAAAGTACTAATTTGCCTGGTGCACAAAGCAAACCACTTACAATTTAATTTGGCCTTTATGGTAAATTCCCACATTGAGCAACAGGTCATGAAACAGCAGAGTAGGAGTAAATAGAAAGAAGAAGTATCATTCAGCTGAGTTCTGTAACTCCGTCGGGAGCTGCCTGTCCAGGGCCAGTCAAGTTATGGTCTTCCCAAACGCGGGGGTTTTCGAATGACCCATTGCTGGCAGCAAATCCACGAGAAATACATTGAGGAACCCCATTTTGGAAGACGGACATCCCCCCCCTCCTTTATTCGGCAAGAGAACAGGCCTCACCTGGCTTCCTGGACTTTGCTCTCATTTCCTCTGCAGGTGTAGTTTTGAATGTAACCTTTAGTGCAGTCACTTTCTGAATAAACTGGATCGCAAACTTCCAGGAAATGAGGTCGCAACCGTCCAACGGACACTTTGGCAATGTCTGTGAAGGACTGGCTGATGGCACAGCCAAAGGCAAAACATCCCACTTGTTTGTACAGAGCTGCCACATACGGGTTTGTGATGAAGGATCTTGATTTCTCCTTCAAATAGCGGATCCGGTAACACTCTCCTGTGATGATCTGAGGGAAGGGGAAGAGAAAAAAAAAAAAGGTAATTTCCATTAACAGGCCCTGTGACGCAATTGTGCAACCACACAAGACGATCAGATGGTAGGATAGATGAGCATTTCTCAAGACAGAAACTGGAAGATCCTGAACTCATTTTTTTCAGAGCTCCATTAATTACTTGTAGGCTCAAAGCCAAACGCATATTAACACTTCAAGTGAGAAAATTTGGTTTCATATGCCAGGCGGGCATGTTACCGAACGATACATATTTATGCATAATTCCCTCCTTCAAAGCAGGCTCAAGTAATATAAATATTGACAGAATTCCAAGAATAATTTGCCCATCTGAAAGCTATTAGACGCCGTGATATCTCAGAGATGGGAGTCTATCTCAGAATAAGTAAAAAGATGCTTTAGTGCATTTGTTTACAGCCAAGAGCGCTGCAAAATGACATGTTATTATAACCTCGTTCTTTTTTCTCCTCCTTTAGCCTGCAGGTAAACAGGGACGTGGTCAGGGATACAAAGAAACTGGTCTAACCTCTTTCCTAGACTCTACCTACCCTATTTAAATGTGTGAGGTGAAGCAGTCATAACAGATCTGAAAACATTTGGCACCACTATGCCAGTGATTGGACAACACAGTAGTATAAGCACCACGGCTGTGGCCCAAACAAATAGCAAGTAATTCCAGATGGAGGACATTGCCTGAGAAGGGGCCAAGTCTGCAAGCTGAGCAGGAGCGAGACCTGTGAACAGCACTGCTCTTGCTAATACCAAACCACGATGGAGTCAAAAATAGCCAAGCGCCCCATTCACCTTGCGTGTGCATGTGTGCGCACCCAGAATGACCACACTGAAAACATGCCTTGCTCCTATGTGGCTGCAGTGGAAAGAAAGCTGCTATGCATAACAGCAAGGGAAATAACACACCAGTGCAGCAGCGCAGCTCTTTTAAGAAGTTTCCAACCGCTTGGTTTCCTTTACACATGAATGATATGCAGCTTGGTCAAGCCAGGTCCCCTGAGCTCCACTGGAGACTTTGTATGATGTGCACAGGATCGCGGATGGTAGAGACCCCCGGGACGTTGTTCTGACCTGTAACCTACTCCCGATTCTTCCCTACGGCACACTTTGTAACATTTATAGTATTTTGCTTTACTGATTTTGGTTCTCTTAAGCAATAGGATTCCCACCATATTAAGGGACACTCCTACACAAGATGCAGCATCGGGGGGGGGCGCGCACACTGTGACATCGCCACTATTGCGCAGTCGCAATGAGCTCCTGAGCAGTTGGGTCGGAAACAGGAACAACTGTGCAGCGGGGCACATATGTAGATATGGCCAAGTAGGGGGCTGTTGTACAGCCTGATCTTCCTCTAATCTTCTTTTACCTAAATTTCCCATTTCTCTCTATCCCTTCCACAATTCAAGGCCAATAATTCCTGGAATGCTGCTACTGAACTGGAGTAGCTCATAAAAGAAACCGTGAAGCCCTTCAACTTTTTTTAAATATATTTTCATATCTTAAAAAAAAATGGAAAGGGCCAGATTGTCAAAGTTTTCAGAATCTCGCCTAAAATTTGCAGTGACCAGACCCAATTTCAATCAAACTATGCTTTTTATAAACACATGCTATTTCTGGAAACGGCAGCGGTCCTTGTAGTTATTAAGCAGCAAATTATGTCTTTCTTGTGCCACTTGAAGGGGGAGTGTTGCAGATTTGACAATGTTGCCATAAATCACAGTTATGAACCAGAGGGCCTGGCTTCTTGTAATCCTAACTCCTAAAAGGCACTTTAATGAAAATCAGGCTGTGAAATGAAGTCCAAATGTCTCACCTCTCCAAAAGAGGCAAAGGCTTAAATTGTTCTCCGTCACGTTATGCACCTAGTTTTTGAGGCCCAGATTTACAACTTTAGGATTTTATTCATTACTTGAAATGTTTTTATACCTGAGTAATAAAGTGAGGTGGGTTTTTTTTCTCCCTTCCTCCCCCTTCCTTTCTAGTCAGCAGCATTGTGATATGTAAATTTAACTGTCAGGAAGAATGCCTTCATGTTAATCCCCTTCTGAAACAGCCGGCAATATTTTTCACAGCGTGGCAGCCTGCCAAATGCACGGAGGAGAGAGCTCTCCCCTTCTTACCTTTTTAAAAAGCTTGGCACAACATTTGGAAACTAATAAACTGGAAAAGTATTGCAATTAGACTAAGAGGGGATGAAATTGTATCATTGTTTGAACTCTCGGGTACCGAGGCTTGCAAAAACAACGGTTGACCTAAAGCAGTTGAAATTATAGCTAAGCAGGCTTAATCAAAAGGAAGGTAAATAATAAGCATAACAAGAGCTTATAGCGCCGTGTTTCTTAGACAAATATATCAGGGCCATTGAACTGCTATCAAGAGTTTAAAAGCCACCGGCTCACTATGCAAACAAAATGAATGTGAAGTTCCCTGTGGCCTTGACCGATGGTTGTCTAGGGGC